AAAAGCATCTGTGCCAGTGTAGATGCTCTCTTGCGCAAGAAAGCTCCAATGGCCATTTTAGCCATCGGGCTTTCTTGCGCAAGAAATTAACGTTGCTGTCTACACTGGCCTCTTGCGCAAGAATACTTGCGCAAGAAGGCTTATCCCTGAGTGGGAACATCAGAGTATTTGCACAAGAAGCACTGATTTTGTACTGATTTTGCGCAAGAAGCACTGATTTTGTCAGTGTTCTTGTGCAAATACTCGCAGCCAGTGTAGACAGGTGGCAAGATTTTGTGCAAAAGCAGCCGCTTTTGTGTAAAATCTTGCCAATGTAGACACAACCTCATAGCTGTAAAATGGGAATAATTTTTACTCGCCTACTTTACAGGGAGTTGGGAGGATAAATTAGCTCTTGTTTGTTCAGTGCTTTGGAATATAAAGCGCCATCAAAATCTTAGGAATCTTCCTGCTACAGATGGGCATTTTTATTCATTTTCATGTCATTCATCATCTCCATGGGTTTTCTATTTGTTATTTGGTTTATTTCACTGTGATTACTTCAATATTAGACTGGATTACAGAGCTGTTATATCAAATAATATGTTTGAATTGTTATGGGTGATAGCTTTCCAGAGGCTTAAAATCTTGTCCCACCCACCAACAGAAATTGGTCCAGTAGAAGATTTTACCTCACCCATTGCGTATCTCTCATGAATTATGAAACTGAATCTAGATTAAAATTAGAAAGAGACAAACTAAATCAGACAAAGTTAATTGGTAAATATGCATTTGACTGAACAAATTTCCTCACTATTTCTTTGCTGTCATTGGTATGGCTGAAATGGCACATGCAGCCCAAATAACCCATTTTCAAGTAACTGATTACGGACACAATCATTGTTTGCTTTATAAGCCTGTTCAGGGGAGGGAGTGGAGAGAAAGGCTATGTCTAGACTGGCATGATCTTCCGCAAATGCTTTTAACGGAAAAGTTTTTCCGTTAAAAGCATTTGCAGAAAAGAGCGTCTGGATTGGCACAGACGCTTTTCTGCAAAAGCACTTTTGCGGAAAAGTGTCTGTACCAATCTAGACGCGGTTTTGCGCAAGAAAGCCCCGATCGCCATTTTTGCCATCGGGGCTTTTTTGCACAAAACAATCCCGCGTTGTCTACACTGGCCCTCTTGTGCAAAAGCATTTGCGCAAGAGGGCTTTTGCCTGAACGGGAGCAGTATAGCATTTCCGCAAGAACACTTGACAATCTTACATGAGATCGTCAGTGTTCTTGCGGAAATTCAAGCGGCCAGTGTAGACAGCTGGCAAGTTTTTTCGCAAAAGCAGCTGCTTTTACGGAAAAACTTGCCAGTCTAGATGCAGCCAAAGTGTCTTTTGTGTGGACTAAATGTTTCATGGTAAAGTGCAGAAAACAGGCTCGGGAGAGCCAATACCCCGTCCCACTCACAGGGATGGTGCAAAAGTAGGCCTGGGTGGAGCTTTGACACCACGTGCCCCCAACATGTCTGCTGGTGTAGTTGTGTTTATGCAGAAGAGGGGACAGAAATCTGCTACTGATGTAAACAAGAGGGGACCCAGAAAGTCAATGAATTTTGACTCTGCTCTTTACTCAAGACAGATTGAAAGGTTACAGTCTAGCCTTATTCCATATGAAAATATATCAATTTTCTTATGGTGGCTTAAGTGAAGAAGCAATAATTTGTGCCTGAAAAAATGGGCAATTTTAATTCAATTCTCTCAGATGTTTTGATTTCAATTCATTAGATAGCTGCAACATATTACCACAAAGAATACTGAGGAACAACTTCTTGTATCCCTTCTGTACTTGTTTATTTTCATCTAATTACTGAAATTTCAAGGACCCGAAACTTATTGCAGCTGGGTTTATTTTATTGCTGGGAAAATACTGACAATGAGTGCAGTTCTGTGACCGTGATGCCTTTAGAAAACAGCCATTGGAGAGCTGGTTGCTATGCAACCTACAATATTGTCTGGGTTACCCTCACCAAATGATGGCATATTGTATAACATAAAATAATCCTCTTAAAAATAATACAGTGAAAGGTTGTTGTTGGGGGGGGTACTTGCAATAACCCACAGCTGGGTCACAAGCTCAAAGGAAAACAAATGCGTCACTCACCCATGTCTCTCCAGTACTGAACCCCAGTGTAATTCTTATGGTTATTTATCAGGCTGATGAGATAGATACCAAACGGCTTGGAATGTAGCCAACAAGGTATCCAGCGCAAAGGTTCTAAACCAACACGTTACTCAAACAAGATTCTGTGGTGACATTTTCACACAGTGAAGCCAAACAGGGCATTTGACTCTTGGATTGTTTCAATGTGTGCACATCCCCTTAGTTCTAACACAGTCCTCTGACTTTTACTGGGAGGATCCTTTGTGCTATAATCTAGCCCTAGAGACTACAACTCCCATGAGCCTGGGGGAAAAGAGCGGGGGGAGCCTCTTCCAGGCTATGCAGACAGAGGGTTAGGCTAGGCTCCATTTTTTGGGAGAGGAGCCAGGCTGCTAGTGTGAAGCCTTTTCCAGGCCAGGAGCTATTGTGTTGCAGCTAGAGCCTGTTACTGTTACTTCTGGGGCTTGGATCTAGCAGGTAGCTTTGGAGGCTGCTGTTGATTGTCTCTGGAGGGGAGAGATCCTGGCTGTGACTGTTGCTGGGAAGATCTTACATAAACCTGAATAGGATGTGACTGTGAGTAACTGGTCTGTTTGGAAAAGTGCTGCCTGGGACGGAGCACAAAAGATAAACTGACTCTGGATCTAATGAGAGCCAAAGTGATCTGCCCAGGGAACCAGAGCTGCTGGCATTTGGTGGGGCCTTCACCAGTAGCAGAGGGATTTTGCAGCTGGCTGCTCAGCTTGAACTAACACACACAGAACCTGACCCGTGCTATCTCCACTCCACCTGCAGACCTTCAAGCATGCCCACGCAAGCAAGTGTCTGGGACTCTGACTGCAGAGGAGTACACACTCTGGGGTGGGATAAGTGGTGGCAATGCAAATGTCAGATAGATAAGTTTCCTTTCTTTCTGTGTATTTTTAATTGATTTTGTTCACTTTTAATCTGTTAAACCTGGTTTCTTTAAGTTGTTAAATAAAGATGTGCTAATTCTAATTTAATCGATTAGATATATCCAGGGGCGGCCCATGGCTATAGGCGGACTCAGCTGCCGCCTACGGCGCCGCCCCCCGGGGTGCCCGCCAATGACGTCAGTCCATTGATGGCTCTGCAGGCGGGGGCGCTGATCGTGCATTCCACCTGGGGCACCAGCTGCTGCAGCCGGCATCGGGCCATTCCTGGGTATATCTTATTTATCATTGTTGTCTTGGAGTTAGTTCCGGGTTATAACTGGAATCATTTTATTTTCTGGAGACTCCCAAAGCACACCATAAGTGTGTACAGGGCCAGCCAGGTGGAGGCACCGCCACTGTATATTCTTTAGGAGCAAGGGACTGCAGCAAGGGGGTAGACAGGGAATCCCCAATGAAACAACATCACCACTGGAGTACTCAGGATCTCCTTTTATGCTAAAAACATCAGGCACACCTGTGAGTGTGACCTGCTCCCAAATAACCCAGGGAGGAAAAAGGGGGTTACATCTCCAAAGCGCAACACACTGATACTGAGCAAAGAGCTGGTGCCATATCAAATCTTCAGCTAGGAGTTGCAATCCAGCGCTGGGTAGTGGAATGTCAGGCACTGGGTCTCTGTTGCTGCAGGGGGATCAGGTGACCAGCAGGGTGCTAAGGCAGCTACCTGCCTGTTCTGGCAATGCAAACTGCGCTGTGTTCTAGAAGCAGCTGGCAGCAGGCTGGGTACCTAGGTGGGGGTGGAGAGAGCGCACAGGGCTCCGTGCACTGCCCCTGCTCTGAACACTAGCTCCGCGCTCCCATTGGCTGGGAACCTGCTGCTGGCTGCTTCTGGGGGCAGTGTGGTCTGTGGTGCCAGGAAAGGCAGGAACTGCCTTAGCACCCCCACTTCACCACTAACCAGGAGATAAGTCCCTTCTGATCCAGCCTAGCCCCTGCACAAAGCCAGAGCCCCCTCTGACACCCCAAAATTCTCATCATCAGCCCTAACCCAGAGCCCACACTCTAGTTAAATTAGGTTAGGTTGTGGGCATCAACCATTTTCTTCAACTGAGTCACGAGAAAAAAGTTTGAAAACCACTGAGCTGCTGTAACGCAGTGTAAGTCTATTGACTTGTTGGAGCTACTCCCAGCTGAACTGACTATTGTTTATGGAGGCCACTTGCATGTTTAAATACTGAGCTGTTCCTGCAAATCAGGTACAGTTCACAAATGTTCAATGACAGTAACTGTAGTCACAAAAAGGCAAACTAGTTCATAAAAATATTTTCACTTGAATAGTTGCAGATGCTTCTGTACCTAAGAGGTATTAGCAGGTCCTGTCCTCATTCAATGAATGTTGCAAATGCTCTTATAACTCTCCTCCAGTTTCCATGGAATTATAAGTTGCTCAAGCAAAACTGAGGTAAAAGTTCTAAATAGGCTTTAAAGCAATCCCACTTTCAAAACCACTCACAGTGTCCATGTTCTTTACAGTTCTGTCTATAAACTGTCCCATCCCACAGAAACAGCATCAGAATGGTTTAAAAAAATGGTACACTCTTAATTTTGATTTGATTCTGTAAAGCACAAGGCACTCTGGTTCCAATCCAGCAAAGAAAATGCTTAACTTAAAGCATGCATAGTACATCTTTAGGTAAGCATAAACTTAAGAGATTTACTGGATCAGAGCCATCATGCTCAACAGGATGGAGCCCACAATGCACTTCATTTCACCTAACAAACAAACAAGTGTTGATGTAGAATCCATGTTATACATTAATGCTATATTAATAGACACACGGGCAATGAATAAATTACAACACAGCAGTGTATATCACAAATAAATTGCACAGTTCATTAAAAGAATCCTGAAAACATCTTAATCCATTACTAAAATTAGCTTTTACTTACTTTTCCATAGCTCAACATGATTATCCTCACCAAAACAACATTAATGTGGGCACCTAAGGACTCGTCATGGTAGATTTCATTAACCTGCAAAAGAGTGTAGATATTTTTAATAATGATCCTGTCAATAAGCTATCACAGTAGCAATGAAAAAACAACCTTTGTTGTTAAAATACAGAGCAACCACACTCATTTGTAAAAAAGAGGCATTCTCTCACTACCTCAGAGAGACCTTTTTCTCCATGCACTACAGGGCTCTCCCGGAAAAGCTCCATAATAAGCATCAAATCAGGAACCATCATTATTCAGGAAACCACTGAAAGTGAATCATACTTACACAGGTGCATAAAATGCCTCCCTGAACCAGGCACTAAACTGTTAAAATATCTTTATAAAATAGTCCGTCAAACTGGTTGGTTTTATTGTGTCAAAATTGATTAATTTCAAATGATACAAGCATAGCAAAATCTATAAAATACCAATATGGAAAACAGGGTGGGGGTTGTATTATACATATATAATCATAGATGCAAACTATTTTAACTGCACTGAAAATAGAACCATGAATATTATAATGGAGAATGAAATTACAGAAATTCAAGGAGTACAGAAGAAATGCTACTATAACCAAACTGGACAAAAGATTACCTGTTAAAAGGGCTGATTGGGGTAATCTATGATGAGGGAATGAAAAAGGCCAACTTAAGGTCTTATAAATACATTTGATTGTTTTGCTTCACAAATTAGAATAAATAGATAAATAAATATCTGCAAGGATTCCAAACTATCTTCCCTCCTGATCATTAGCACCCGTTGTAAAGGATGGGCCAAAAATTGACTATTTTGTAAGTGGGATATAAATAATTGCTCATATTTATGGTTTGTTTCTGACATAAGAAACATATTCACTGGTATAAGTTATTAAGTTTCTGGAGAGTTGTTTATTAAAAACAAGATAATACACTTCTGTGTTTTCAATATACCTTTGTCCCAAAGGGGCAATATCAAAATATAACTCATTTTTGATCTCTTTGTAAAAATACTAACAGTGAATTATTGTACTGTTTTACAAAAAAAAGGCTTTAACCGTTATTTGAACATATATTTTAATACATTTGGCCTAGTTTTTAAAAAATATGAGCCTAAATTTGCCTCTAAATTCACACTGGACACCTAAAAGAAGTTTGATTTTCAAACATACTGAGAACCCTGTAGTTCCCAAATTAGGTCATTTTTTTCGGTATCTAAATGTGAATTTAGAACCCTAACTTTAGGTTCCTGTATTTGAAATATCTTAAGCCTTCCTTTCAGGAACTTTTGCAAAGGCTGATTTACAAATACAGATTGAACCTCTCTCGTGTGGCACCCTTGGGACCCAACCAGTTCTGAACCAGAGAATTTTCTGGACCATGGGAGGTCGGTATTGTCTAGCAGCATTACCAACACTACTACTGCTTACGGGGCAGTTAGAGCACATTTAGGGGTAAATTAGAGCTAACTAACATCACAGAACACTGAGCACTAGGACTGGTGGCTGTAAACAAACTTTATGGGACTGTGGGAAACTTGGCCACACTCATGAAAAGTGGATATGTGGCTCACTAAAACCATTCTGGATGATGGATGTTTCCAGACCTGAGAGTTCTGGACTAGAGAGGTTCAACCTGTATACACTTTTGTATAAAACAAATTACATGTTTAAAGGAAAGTTTTGTACTGAAAAGGACATTTCATTGTGTTCTTTACTAGATGCCCCCACACACTTAAGGCTATTTGCATTTTGATGCAGGGATACTAATTTGCCTGATTCTTTGTGCATTGGGATAAGAATATACACCTCTTGGATAATAAGCTCAAATTTGCAGTAATGTAAATATTACCTAAACTAAAAACTGAATGAAATCTATGCGTAGGACAGAAGTGTGACATGAAACTAAGTGCTTTATTAATTCCTGAGGCAAAACCCCAATTGTTACATGCTCCTTTCCCATTAGCCTTTGGCGCTTAACCTCAGCCTCTTTTAACAATAGTGAAGCCAAACAGCAACTATATCACTACTACTCGCTGAATTAAAACTTGGCAGGGAAATGTTGACAGAATGCCTTTGAAACATTGTTATACAGTTCACCCAAGTGACATTTAACAAACACATTTTTGCTAATGAATCGAAAAACATAAACATTACAAAGGTTCCTTGGCATCTGTGGAGCAGGGCTGGCCTTACCGTGAGGTAAACTGAGGTGGCCATCTCAGGTGCCAGACTGGGGGTGGGTGGGGAGGAGGCGCCACTAGTGTCAGAGAATTGAGACCTTTCAAAGTTTTGGCCCAAGCGAGGGGACATGGGGGCGTCATTTGAGCTCCCTGCCTCAGGTGCCAAAATGCTGTGGGCCGGCCCTGCTATGGAGTATAATTTGTAGTGGGTTTTCTCTCAGACACAGGACCAAATCAAAGCCCTGGATCTTAATTTCACACCTAGGGACTGATCCAACTGCAATGTAATACTCCGGTGGGAGATGGACCTGCTCTCTCTATCGCGGGGCAAAACTGGAGCTGGACCAAGGAATGCTGTTATGCCACTCTAGGAAATAGATTGTGGGTCAGAGTTTGATTCTTTTAATGTTATATTATGTAACAATTTAAAATAGAATATCAAGTACATTTCAAAACAATAAGTTATTTCCCAACAAAAATATGAAATCGCTCCATTCTGATAAGTTTACAGTGCATTTTTTTAACAAACTTTCATCCAAACTGACACATTCCCATGGAAAGTTTTTATTCTGACAAAATGGCATATTTCAATGGGAAAATATTCTGACAGAAATTTCCTGAGTAGCTCTACTATTAATAATTTCTTTGCATTGCATTTCCCTGGTTATTTAACATGGAGGGGAAAGCATATGACAATGCTCTGAAATAGATTCACACGCATTTCAAATGTGTGATGTGAATGGCATCTGTTTGCTTCCATGTGCTTGTAAAGAATGGAGATCCAAGTGACTGAGCTCTGAAATGGATGTGCTCAAATCTGTATGAGTATTACAGAAAATTAGCAGAAGAACCATTTGGTTGGTTTCTTTCCTCAAACATAGCATTTCTACATGAAAAGCAGATCTATTTACTTCAGTGTACAAAACAAAAGATGTGTCTAAAGTAATTAGTGTAGCCCTGATTCTGATTTCATCCTAATTATTCAGCAGTGTAACTCATTTCTTTAGTTTATAGCCTGCTTTATACCATTTAAGAGATCTCAGAACGGAGCTCTGTGTTTGTCCTCAAAGCAGTGAGGGTCAGATTCTAATGTTATGCTGGTGCACAGGAAACTGGAGCTCTCAGAACTGCAGCTCTGGCACTCTGGGAAGAGCAGATTTGGCATTAAATCTCGAGATGTCACATGGTGATTCAGCATTTACAGCAGGTGACTGGTAGGGCTGGGGGAATCTAAAAAGAGTTCAAGGTTTGGCAAGGCATCTGGGGTGGGGGAGTTGACTAAACTACTGGAGATCACAGACCATTTCTCCCTGTGTAATTTAATTCTACGGTTTATTGTCATGATGCTTTAATTAAAATCAATGTTGTGCTATCTAAATGCAAGCCTTATGTTGGGTACTGGGGATAAAGAATGTTCCTCTTGAAAGTTAGGCTGACATAAGTAGGTGCTTTCCATGAGATATATTCGCTGTGGTTACTTTTGCATCAGAATTTCTTTCCTCCCCCCCGCACCCAACCACACACATTCTTCTGGTTTGCCGAAGCAAGTTTGAACCCAGCTCTGTAACCAAGTACAATGCAAACAAAGCTGTGCAGTTGTTCTGATTAGCATCTTTCGGGTTCCCAGAAAGAGGATATTGCTGGAGGGGGATACAACTGGAGGGAATAGAAGGGCGTATCTGGAGGGTGCTGGAAGAGGCGTGGGAGGAGAGTATCTGGGAGGTGCTGAGGACTGTACATGTGCTGAGAGCATGATAGAGCCTCACTCTTGAGGTGAGGGCATTGTTGCATCCTGCCACAGGCCTCGGGATGCAGCACCAGCCATCTGTCAGTGCCTCCCTGCCTCTCTCCCTCCCCAGTCCTGGGAGCCAGGGCTTGGGTGAGTGGGATCTGGCAGCTGTGGATGCAGGGAGGGACCCATTGGGATACGGAGCCAGCTTTTTCTGACTTGCTAGGTCTGATTCACAAAAATTCTGGACATTTCCTCTAATTTGAAAAATCTGCCCGGCCGGAGGATCAGAGGACACGTCAGGGAAAACCTGGACAGTGGTAAACCTAGTTGTGAGGGATGCGCTATGCTTTGTGTGGATTAGCTTTGGGAAACATGAATGGGTTTTTAAAGAACCTGCCATGATGGGGCCCCAATCTTGATCAGGGCTTTCAATTCAAATAATAATAATTGCTCTGTACTTTTGCAAGTGTTATCTGAGGTCAGTTATCTGCAGATAAATTTGACAGGATCGGCAGGAAATGGTGAGTGTGTTTCTGTATTAGGGCCACTCTTAATAAAAGCAACAACGGTGAGGAAAAAGTCACAGGTGGATTCATTTATGCAGTTGTAAGAAGTATCTTTATTAATACTTGTTATGCAGTGGACAGCCCGCTTTATTAAAAGTCACTGCTTCTCATTTCAGAGGAATTTCAATGAACCCACTGGTAGTCATGTAATTAAACAATGTGACTATTGTGCTGTTAGCCAGTTCAAACCAAGCTTTGAAGCATGCCCTTTGCTGTGTCTATACAACGTCACACAACTGTATAACCCACTGCTGCCTCAAACTCATTTGCCACATCTTCACAACGCAGAAGATCGTCTCTGCCATAATCAATATTCCGGAATTCGATTTAATGAGTCTAGTAAAGACCCACTAAATCGAACTCAGAGGGTGTTCCTGTTGGCAGTCAGTACGCCTGCCCCTGCAAGGAGTAAGGGAAGCTGATGGGTGTGTTTGCTCCCATTGGCCTCCCACTGTGGGGACAGATGGAAAACTCAAATTCAGGTAGGTCCACTCCAGCTAAGTAATTAAAGTAGCTGAAGTTGAGTATCATAATTTGACCTTCCCTTTTAGTGCAGACCTATCTATAATGTAGGACTC